TATCCGTTCCCTAGCCTTGCCCAACCTAACTCTGCTTGTACTTAAGGCCTAGCGCCTTCTTTCTTAATCAATAAGTTCAAGCTCCATTTCTGACACATTCATCAGTACAGGTCTGTAAATCTGAGAATCAAAATGAAGCGCGGTTATAACCAGGAAGAAGGCGTAATGGCTGACGGTTATGGAGAGAGGCGAATGAGTTTATGACGCGAAGTTACGACTTTGTTTGACCCAATCCTTGAAACGGCAACTGGGGTCCCTTCAGGAGGAGAGTTTGGAGCTCGGGTAAAAAAAAATTGGTGTTACCACTTTGCGCACAAAATTCTCAGCTGCGACTGGTCATAACCTTGATTGAATCAATCGTCGACGCAAGCCAGAAGGCAATTTCCACGCGAGCAGAAACCTACAGGAACCAGAAAAGGCATAGCGCCACATGGCTATGTCTCGAGCTGGATGCGTCTTTGCTCCACGAACAGAAGATCAGTTGAGGCGGCTCACTCAAAACCTTCGTTACTTGACTATATTTGCACTCACAGGTGTGCGAGAGCTGAGAGCGACAGGATGGATGATGGTAGAGAGACTGAGAGCGGTGTGAAAGCGATGTCGCTGCAAGTTTTGCATGGGAAAGAAAACTTAGGGACGCGTCAAAACAGAATGTTCATATCAAGTGCCTTAACAATTCGTTCATTGGTTGGCACAATGTAAGGTTTTGAGTACGGGAGCCTCACTCCTGAGAACGTGACTTGGGTCCCGAGTGGATGGGATATGGAGGGAGGGGGAAGACAGTAGATTGTGGAAGGCGAAGGGTGGGACGAGGTAGAGCGTGTGTGGGCGGGGGGGAAATTTGTGTGAGAAGGTGTGCAGGGTGAGGGGGTTGAGTCGGAAGTTGTGGGCATGTGAGGGCACCTCAGGGCATGTGAGGGCATGTGGGGGCATGTGAGGGCATGAAAGGGCACATGATGGCAGCACTCACAGTGTACGCAGGGAGGGCGGCAGAGAGAGGTCAGAGATGGACCCTTGGAGGTTGTAATAATTGGCCAACACACTGAATGCCAGAGCACATGGTGGGGTGGGGGGATACAGTGACAGCCCAGAACTGACAGTGGCCAAGGTCTCCTTTACATTCAGATTTTTAGCAGCGTGGCCGGAGAAGAGAGGGTGGGTGGGGGGGTTAGGGAATGGGCCTGCTACCAGTGGGTGAGGGCACACCAAAAACGGGAACGAAAATGTGGGAACGGGGACGCAAGTGCGGGAAATGGGGACACAAATTCGGGAAGGATGGGGGGGGGATATCAACACGGGAATACTAAATGAGGTCTCTAAAAGAGGATGAGTGGAATGTTTCCTGTGAAGACCACGTGGGGTTCAAGTGGAGAGTGACGAGACAGCAAAGGGGTTCCTAAGAGTGTCAGGGCAGGGCATGCGGTGAAAAAAATTGCGGTGCAGGACATATATCCCAATGGAAGACAAGTCGTTTGTTATGCAATGCTGATGCTATACATGGTATCAGAAGTTATCAGGTAATGGTTTTTAGTAAGCAGGTGATGGTTTTTAGTAAGCACACGCACACCAGGGCTTCAAGCGAATGCAAGCAATGACCACAGTCTATTGCTGCTACCACTCTGATAACATGTGAGTGAGGGCTGGCTGAAAGGACAGGCAGGTTGTGGGAGTGGTCGAATTTTTGAAATGTTGATCAACAAAGGTGGGTGGAAGAGTCAAGGGGTAGACGAGGAGTGAAAGGGAAGAAGAGAAAGAGCACAGAAGAGTGGAAGAATTGGATGAGAGGAAGGGATGAGAAGTGGAAGAGGGAAGCTTACAGATGGCGGAGGTAGGGCATGTGAGAGAAGACAGAGAGGACAGTGTGAGTCATCCGCCCGTTGGCGAGTTCTTTTAGTTCTTCTCCAGTAGACACGTTCCTGTAAGAAGAGAAGCGGTGCTCGTGCAGCGCACACATGCATGCATGCATGCATGCATGCAATGCAATGCACACACATGTAGATATCCACACATCATGTGTCCACCACACGCACGCATGCATGTATGGACACACACACACACACACACACACACACACACACACACACGCGCACACACACACACACACACACACACACACAGACACACAATGAATGTTTCGACACACGCACGCATGCATGCATGGACAAAACCACAGACGCAGTGCATCATGAAAAAATACCCTCGCACACCCACCCTGAAAAAAAAAAAAAAAAAAAAAAACCCTAAACGCCCCAAAAACTCAAAATAAGAATCCCAATCGAAGTTTCTTCTGACTGCAATCACAATCTCTCTCAACACCAAGCGCGCACACTGAAACGATGAAGCCCTGCGCGTTGCACTGGATGTACTCCCACTGGTCGCAGCGCCGTGAGCGGTTGGAGTTGGACGGCCACGGCTGCCACGCGGCGTTCAGCGCCACCAGCGCACCCACTGCCCGCCCGCCCCCACTCCCCGCCGCCACCCCCCCCCTCCCCCCCCACCCACTCTCCACCAGGCACACCGACAGCAAAAGTGGGTTAAGGAAAACGTTGAAATTGGGCGAACATGGGTTAAAAACGTTGGGCGAAATCGAGTGAATGTGGGCGAAAGTGAGCGAAAGTGACCCAAATTTGACAGTCCTGAATCTGTTCTTAGAGATTCTTTTAGGATGAAGATCTCTCCTTCCTGTCCCGGAAGTATCCTAAAGTGACTTTTGAGACCACAATCTGCCCCAAAAAGTGTCCTAGAAGCAGTATCCCAAAAGTGTCTTATAAGACAGGGCGTCTGCGTTGGTCCTCAAAGTATCTTTCTGAACATTTCAGGACAGATCCAAGATTGTCAGTTTTGGTGATTGGGGGGGGGGGGGGGGGGGGGGGGGGGGGGGGGGGGGGGGGGGGGGGGGAACTTACGCTGTGTGTCCTCGAGGAGGGGCCCGGCGGCGGGTGGACGCGGGGACGGTGCCGCGGTCGAGAGCTCGAGTAGGCTCGTGCGATGACGATGGGAACGACTGCCGTGGCGAGGCCGCTCGGCGACGTGCGACCAGTGCGACCCGTGCGACCTCCGCGATACGTGCGCCGACACGTGCGAGTCGATACTATATGCATGTCGCGAGATACGCGACGGGTTGTGTGAGTCGCCCGCCATGATAGTACAGTTGCGCCGTTCCGACGGGAAGCGTTGAAAACACCACTACTACCACTGCTAGTAGTATAACTAATTGCATCGCAAAGCCAAGCGGGGCGCGCCGGCGGAGGCGCGACAGCAGATGATGGCGGTAGCGAGGCGACGACTGCGCCATGATGATGCTGGCGACAATCATGGGGAGGTTACTTATGGCAGTGGCAATGCAACGAAACACTGCACTAGTGAACTTGGATGCGGGAAATGGGATTGTACGCGGGAACAAACGCCTGGTACGCAATACATTGTCGCTTCTGAGTCACTGTGGGCCATTTCAATCCGAGGGCGCAGGAGTAAGGAGCTTTGAAGGTAAGGCAGTGCACCGTGCTCGAGATATCATTCTAGGTAGGCGGAAATACGAGCCAACCCGGTCCACCGCACTGCATTGGTGCAGCCCAGAGAGAAGGAAATGCACTCCCACGGCTCGCGACATCTCGCAAAAGTGTCGTGATCCTCGGCGTGTCATACACATCACCAAATTCATTCGGAAACAACCAGTCAGATTAGTTCTTATTGTCTTCCCACTCTGCACGCCCTTCGCCATCGCACCTGATGCACCCGAGCCTGCAACATGTCGCTGGGATGTTCCACGGCCTTAGGGCGTGTAAAATCGCCGAACCCAGAAATTCGGCCATCATCCGTCGGGCCGTTTTGGCGCGAGTACCCATTTGAACCCCTAAGTACCAAGCTGTCTCGTACCCGAACCCCTAAGTACCCTAATGGCCGAAAATCCGGCCATTAGCAAATTTGGCATGTGTGCGGCGATTTTACACGCCCTTAGGGTCGACCCTTCCCCAGGCACTTCTATCATTCATTTGGTATTCAGTAGTCTGTATTTTGCCCCTGCCCTAAACCACTTCTCGGTGACTTTTCTGTAGTTCGATTGCTACTGTATCGCACAGAGCCTCTTTACACCGCCTCGGATCGACCCAGACGATACACCGCGTCTTCCACAAAACACCCGCAGCCAGTGGCTGTCGTCGGCTACGTGTCAAGAGCCTCTCAGTACGTGTGCTTGCGTGCTCAAAAATTCCCGCCAAACCTTCCATCTAGTCAGCATGTATCTCTGGGCTGTAATTGTATCGTCATGCTATAGAACTGCCAATGAGAGAGTTCGATTTCAGGAAATTGTAAGACGTGTCTCCATCGGAACCGTCTGTTCAGTACCTATGCCATGCTGTGAGTATTCCTGGTTGAGGTACATTTCAGTGTACCCACCCACCGTGAGTACTGCTTCGAATATTTTGTGGGCACCCTACATGTTTTACCAGCAACTTTGGCTGATCTTTATGTTACTAATATAGCTGGAGAATTGTTTATCTTTACAATAAATGTCTATATTTTCTGATTTTACCAGACACACAATTCCAGATCCTACTAGTTCGGTGTTATTCGTATATACATACTTATTATTTGATACTTATTATTAAAACCAACGTATTCGATAGGAACACATGGACCTTATTTAGACATTCGATTGCTTGCTTACGAAATTTTGGGCCATTTTCATCAAACAGCTCGTCGGTTTCCCGCACCAATCCGAGAGGAGCAGCTCCCATCACCGCAGCTCCTCCCCTCCACCTCCACCAATACTCGTCACTCATCTCTAGTGCACTCTTGTGACACGAGTCGTCTACCGTCCATCTGCCGCCTTGTAACAGCCATGGCGGCATCTCACCATACGTCGCTAGTCGCCACGGCAGGAACCCTAACAAGTCCGCGGGTGTCGTATCCGTCAGCCGTCTCCCGCCTCTCCTCCGCGCACGCTTCGTCGTCGCCCATCGCTGCCCCGCTTTCCGTTCCTCTCCGTGTCCCCGCACCCCATGGCACCGCCATTGCCGCAACTCCCTTATCCCGCCGAGTCGCATTCCCCGCCGCGACGGCGGCGAGAGGACCCCTCCGCTGCGCGCGTCGCCGCCTTGTGTCCGTGCGATCGGCGGAAGGGGACGCCGCCGGGCGGGACCAAATAACTTCTGCGGAACCGCAACCGGCGGAACGACCACCCCCGGAAGCATCGGCGGCGGAGGCGCGAGCAGCGGAATCTCCAGCATCGGAAGCAGTAGCGGGAGCGGAAACGCCAGCGGAAGCCGCCATTGTTGCAAGCGCGGATTCGGTTAGCGGAGTTGGCGTCGCGGGGAAAGAGGCGGCGGCGGCGGCAGTAGAGAAAGGAAGCTGGTCAACGTCGTGGGAGCCCAAGGTACCTCTCGACTTAGAAGTGGCCATTTTCTCCCCTATCTCAAGGGTCGACTTATAAAGGCCTTCGCCGTTCCCGCACCCATGGAATCTCCCCCCCGTCGCCCCGCCCTCCGCCACGCATTCCCCCCGTCTCCCCGTCCTCCCACGCGCGCATTCCCCCGTCCCCTCTCCGCCGCGCATCCCCCCTCCCCATCCTCCCACGCGCGCATCCCCCCTTCCCCGTCCTCCCACGCGCATTCCCCCCTCTCCCCGTCCTCCCACGCGCATTCCCCCCTCTCCCCGTCCTCCCACGCGCATTCCCCCCTTCCCCCACCGCCAGGCGGCGCTGGGCGTGCTGCTGCTGTCCGTGCCCGTGGTGCCCGCGCTGCCGCGCTGCCAGTGGTCCGCGCCGCTCTACTTCGGCCTACTCGCGCTCTGGGCCGTCTACGTGGGCAGCCACCGCAGGTGCGCTCAGAGCTCAGGGCTCCCTTGTTCACGCGTGAGGGGTCCACGTGAGGGGTCCGCGTGAGAGGTCGAATTTTTGCCCCTCAAGGCCTTTTTATTTGTGGATTCTCAAAGAAGTAGGAGCAGTGTACGAAGGTAGCCACTCCACCCGCCTGTGTGCGTGCTTGCGGCTCTCCGTGGCCCCGCGCACACTCTCCCTCCTTCCTCCTCCTCCTCCTCCTCCTCCTCCTCCTCCTCCTCCTCCCACGAAACCCCTATGCCTTTCCATTAAGAATCAGGATCAGCCCCTGCAGTCACGTCCAATTTCTCCCTGCAACCACCAATGTCCAGTTTCGTCCCACACCTAGACTCGACCTGCGAGTGCTCTTCTCCTCCTACCTCACGCTCGTCTCTGCCCCTTTCCCCACCCCATCTCCCCATTCCATCACCCCCTACTCCCCTGCTACCCCCTTTCTCCCAACCCCGCACCCCTGCCCCCTGCCCCCTGCCCCCTGCCCCCTGCCCTCTGCCCCCTGCCCCCTGCCCCCTGCCCCCTGCCCCCTCCCCTCCACCATCTCCCCTTCCCCCCTCCAACCCCCCAGCCTCACCCGTCCCCCAGTGCAGGCAGTGAGCATGCAGCAGGGCATGGCAGTGCCCGTGCTCTGCTCCATCACGCTCTTCTCCCTCTACTGCCTGCTGCGCTTCGCCCCGGATCTCGACCTGAGAGTGCTCTTCTCCTCCTACCTCACGCTCGTGGGCGGAGTGGCAGTGGCCAGCCACCTTGCTGACCCACTCAAGGCCGCGTTGCCCAAGGAGATCAATGACCGTCTTTCCGTCACGCTAGGTGTGTGCGGTCGTGCTGCTGTGCTGTGCTGTGCTGTGCTGTGCTGTGCTGTGCTGTGCTGTGCTGTGCTGTGCTGTGCTGTGCTGTGATGTGCTGTGTGCTGCTGTGCTGTGCTGTGCTGTGATGTACTGTGCTGTGCTGTGTGGTGCTGTGCTGTGATGTGATGTGCTGTGCTGTGCTGTGCTGTGCTGTGCTGTGCTGTGCTGTGCTGTGCTGTGCTGTGCTGTGCTGTGCTGTGCTGTGCTGTGCTGTGCTGTGCTGTCCTGTGCTGTGCTGTGCTGTGCTGTGCTGTGCTGTGTGGTGCTGTGCTGTGATGTGCTGTGTGCTGCTGTGCTGTGCTGTGCTGTGATGTGCTGTGCTGTGCTGTGCTGTGCTGTGCTGTGCTGTGCTGTGATGTGCTGTGTGGTGCTGTGCTGTGCTGTGCTGTGATGTGCTGTGCTGTGCTGTGCTGTGATGTGCTGTGTGCTGCTGTGCTGTGCTGTGCTGTGATGTACTGTGCTGTGCTGTGTGGTGCTGTGCTGTGATGTGCTGTGCTGTGCTGTGCTGTACTGTGCTGTGATGTGCTGTGCTGTGCTGTGCTGTGCTGTGCTGTGCTGTGCTGTGCTGTGCTGTGCTGTGCTGTGCTGTGCTGTGCTGTGCTGTGCTGTGCTGTCCTGTGCTGTGCTGTGCTGTGCTGTGCTGTGCTGTGCTGTGTGGTGCTGTGCTGTGATGTGCTGTGTGCTGCTGTGCTGTGCTGTGCTGTGATGTGCTGTGCTGTGCTGTGATGTGCTGTGTGGTGCTGTGCTGTGCTGTGCTGTGATGTGCTGTGCTGTGCTGTGCTGTGATGTGATGTGCTGTGCTGTGCTGTGATGTGCTGTGCTGTGCTGTGCTGTGATGTGCTGTGTGGTGCTGTGCTGTGCTGTGCTGTGCTGTGCTGTGCTGTGCTGTGATGTGCTGTGCTGTGCTGTGATGTGCTGTGCTGTGCTGTGCTGTGATGTGCTGTGCTGTGCTGTGCTGTGATGTGCTGTGCTGTGCTGTGATGTGCTGTGCTGTGCTGTGCTGTGCTGTGCTGTGATGTGCTGTGTGGTCGCGTGTCCTGCTCTCTTCTCCTCCTACCTCACGCTCATGGGTGGGGCTGCTTTAGACCTTGGCCATTCACCATGTTCCTCTCTATCTCTTCGTTTCTGCTCTTCGCACTCCTTTTGCTCTTCTGCCTCTTCGTTCCCCCAGCCCCTTTCCTACTCTATCTCTCTCCTTCTCTCTCCTCTCTCCCTGCTCTCTCTTTCCCCACTCTCCCTTCACCTCCCTTTTCCTCCCCTCTCCTTCCCTTCCTTTTGTCTTACCTGCAACTCGTTTTCACCAATTCCTCCACCTTATTTCCCCCCCCTTTCCCTCCTTGCCCACCTTCTTCTCTATCCCTGTGTCCCCCATTTTTTTCCAATCCTCCAGACATCCCCTCGTGGCTGTTAGAGAGCTCCACTCCTTCCTCCCCCCCCTCCTCTCCCTCCTCCTCTTCTTCTTCCTCCCCCTCCCCCACCCCCTCCTCCTCTTCCCCCTCCTCCTCCACCCCCTCCTCCTCCCCGTCCCCAACCCCGTCCGCCGCTGCGCCAGCAGTGCTCACCCTCTCAGCGACTGACGTGCTCTCTGCGGCCTGTGAGTCACACCGGGCCCCCTCACACAGGGTCTTCTGTTGAGTTTCCTAAACAATTGGGGGCATCTAGTGGTTCGGGGTGGGATGAAATGGGATGGGATGGGATGGGATGGGATGGGTTGGGATGGGTTGGGATGGGATGGGATGGGATGGGATGGGATGGGATGGGATGGGATGGGATGGGATGGGATGGGATGGGAGGGGAGGGGAGGGGAGGGGATGGGATGGGATGAGATGGGATGGAATGAGATGGTGTGGGATGGTATTGCGTGTTGTCAAATGATTCCTATCACTTGCCTGTAGACTACATTCCTCTTTCCCGTCCCAATGTCCTCCAATCCTCTCGCCCCTCCAATCCTCCAATCCTCTCGCCCCTCGTGCTTGCCTCCATATCCTCCTCTCACTTCACCACTCCATCCATATCCGCGCTGTGCTCACTTGCTTGCCCCTCATCTACTCTGCAATCTCCTCTCATCTTCCAGTCAACGTGTGAGCCCCTCTCCCCTCTCCCCACCAGTGGGCATGGGGCTGGTTTTCACATTTATCTTCCTCCTTCCTCCCCTCTCCCCTCTCCATTTTCTCTGTCCCTTTAACTATCCTCTCTCGCTCATCCATCTTTACTATTCCCTCGACCATCTCTGCCGTGCCGTGCACCCCACCCCCTCCCCCACCAGTGGGCATGGCGATGGCGGTGGCATCAATGCAGCCCTCGGCGCCCTTCTCCCTGGGCAACATAGTGGCTGTCTGCATTGTCTCCGAGGTGCTGCAGATGCTCTCCCTGCGCAGGTACGGCGCATGCCTCAGCTTCTGGGATATGTGTGGTACGAGGGGTGGGGGGAAGGAGGAAACTGGGGGGGGAGGAGGAGGGGACTTGGGTGGGTGCAGTGGGGTGAATCAAGGTTGAGATGGGGTGATGATGCAGCCTTCGGCGCCCTTCTCCCTGGGCAACATAGTGGCCGTCTGCATCGTCTCCGAGGTGCTGCAGATGCTCTCCCTGCGCAGGTACCACCCATACGTGGCGCGCTTGGTGGCATTAGTAGTGGGGGAGGAGGAAAAGGGGGAGGAGCAAAGGGGGGAGTTTATGGGGCGGTGAGGTTGGTTTGGAAGGATTGGGGGTGATGACTGGTGAGGTTAAAGGAGGGAGTGACGCTGCGAGCCACGTGAACCTCTCTCGCTCACGTGGCAATGCGGGCAGAGACAGTACTTCAAGAAGGCACCTGCATCTGTGTCTGATGACGTGTGTGTTCATGTGCTGTGCATGTGTGTTCCTGTACATGTGTGCATGTGTGCATGTGTGTGTGTGTGTGTATTGATACGTGGGGGAGTGCAGTGCAGGTGGGCATCATGGACCAGGCGAAGGTGGATGATGGCACTGCGTGTGTGGTGACGGGCGATGACATTCGCCAGTGGGGCGGTGGCGTCATTGGTGCTGGTGGGGCTGCTGCTGTATGACGTGTTCTGGGTGTTTGGCGCCTCTTCACCCACCTGCCCACACACTTTCCCCTCAATACCTCCCTCTCACCCTCTCCTCCCTCCCCTCCCCCCCATCAGCTTCGCGGTGGCGTCAGCAGTGCTGGTGGGGCTGCTGCTATATGACGTGTTCTGGGTGTTTGGCTCCTCGCCCATCTTTGGAGACAACGTCATGGTCACGGTACGATGGTGCCGCCCACATGTGATGTGCTGTATAATATTATCCGCTCCCAAGCCTACCATGTACACATGCAGGAGCGAACCCCTTCTGCGCCGCCCTCCCCATGCCCTAGAATCCACTCCCTCCTTTTCCTAGAATTCGAATTCTCTCAAGTCCCTCTGCATGCGTGCACACGCCCATGCCATTCCCATGACTTGCACAAGTCCATCCATCTCTCCCTCCACTGGCCTAGCCGTGTCAAACGGAGGTGCCCACATCAAACCCTCTACTGGGCCCCATGAAGCTCGTCTTCCCTCGCAGCTCGATTTCCAGGGAGGCCCACACACAGAACCCTTCAGTTTCCATCCGCTTCCCTGACTCCCCCCCGCCCTCCCCTTTCCCTCCCCCCACTGTTTTGCCTGGTCTCATGCAGGTGGCCACATCGGATGCTCTAGTGGGACCCATGAAGCTCGTCTTCCCTCGCTGGACGGTGCGTGCGCCTGGCTGGAAAGTGTCTGGCTTGAAACACTACATGTGCCTCCTGGGTCAAAAGGCTGGTCGGACACAGCGCTGTGCTCGGTATTATGCCATGCCACGCCATGCCATGCCATGCCATCCCAAGCCATGACATGCCATGTGGTGCCGCATTTCCGTTCTACTTTTTTTGTAGTTCTAATTTTGCTCTCACTCACCAACAGACTCCGTCCTTGCCTCCCCTCCCTCCCTCCCTCCCCTCCCTCCCTCCCTCCCTCCCTCCCTCCCTCCCTCCCTCCCTCCCTCCCTCCCTCTCTCCCTCCCTCCCTCCCTCCCTCCCTCTCTCCCTCCCTCCCTCCCTCCCTCCCTCCCTCCCTCCCTCCCTCCCTCCCTCCCTCCCTCCCTCCCTCCCTCCCTCCCTCTCTCTTCACCCCCAGGTTGACGCTGCATCACCCTACTCCATTCTAGGCCTGGGAGACGTGGCAGCGCCAGGCCTTCTCATGGCACTCATGCTCCGATTCGACTCGCACCGCTCTTCGTCCTCTGCTGCCGCCGCCGCTGCTTCTGCAGCAGACACTCCCACCAAAGATTCAACAGCGCAGGGCGAGGCCAGCAGCAGCAGCAGCAAAGGGGCGGAGGGCAAGCAGCAGGGGATGGTTGTGGCAGCGGTGGGGGACGGTGCTGCAGGGTTGGAAGACAAGACGTACTTCCTCGTCTCTGTTGCTTCCTACCTCGCTGGCCTCGCCATCACCATCGGTACGCTGCAGGGGGGGGGGGGGGGGGGGGAGGGGGGGGGTGTCTTGAGCTGCGGGGAGGGAACTATATTGACCTTTGAGTCGGCTCAAAAGTCACCTTGCGCGGGGAGAGAACTTGAATGGGAATGCGAGAGTGAAAGGGAATGGGAGGATTGATGTGGGGAGAGGAGAGAGGGGGGTTAAGAGATGGTGGTGTGGCAGGATGGTAGGTGAAGAGGGGAGGGGGGAAGAGTGAAGTAGGAATGAAGGGGAGGAGAGAACCAATTTCAAGAGACAACGCCACAGGTCTCGCACAGATTTCCCTCGTCCTCGCATTTACTTGCACTCCCAGCATATCCACCCCGCCCCTACCCCCTCACATCCCAAATGGCTGTTCGGTTGACTCTATGCTCATCCACACCTCCGCGTATCTGTTGCTCTTATTCACACCTCCCTCCCTCCCATCCCTCCCTCCCATCCCCACCTCCCTCCCACCTCCCTCCCACCTCCCTCCCACCTCCCTCCCACCTCCCTCCCACCTCCCTCCCACCTCCCTCCCACCTCCCTCCCACCTCCCTCCCACCTCCCTCCCACCTCCCTCCCACCTCCCTCCCACCTCCCTCCCACCTCCCTCCCACCTCCCTCCCACCTCCCTCCCACCTCCCTCCCACCTTCCTCCCACCTTCCTCGCCAACCACAGGAGGAGTAAACACAGTGACAGGAGCAGCACACCCAGGCCTGCTGTACCTGGTACATGCTCCCATACCCTCCCCTTCTCCCTCCATCTCCCCCCTCCGTCCCGCCCACAGGAGTGAACACAGTGACAGGCGCAGCTCAGCCAGCCCTGCTGTACCTGGTACCTCCGCCCCATACCCACCCCTCCTCTCCCTCCCATCCCTCCATCTCCCCCTTCCCCCCCCCCCTCACAGGAGTGAACACAGTGACAGGCGCAGCTCAGCCGGCCCTGCTGTACCTGGTGCCGTCATTGCTGCTGGGCGTGTCAGCAGCTGCAGCAGCTAGGAGCGAGCTGGATGTGCTATTGCGATTCGATGACACCGCTGCAGGGGGTGCTGGTGGGGATGGCATGGAGGGGGGTCTGCTTTTCAAGCCTGTGCCGGTGCAAAGGGAGGGTGACCGATCGAGGGAGTGATTTATTTTTGCACTTGCATTAGTTGGTGTTTACCATTCCTTTTTTGAAAGTACAGTGCTGCTGCAGAACACTCTCACACTTGTTGTCAGTGCATTTGTGCATACATGTTTATATCTATTCATCCTGGAATTATGATACGTATTAGTCAAAATGAAGTGGGATAGGTTTACAAGTAAATCAGCTACGTTCACTTGCAGTGCTGCCACATCTGATTTTCATAATAATAGCATGCAGGTGTATATTGAAAGATAATGTGACTTTTTGTGGGACATGATCATCAACAAATGTCTAACGATGGTTGTGTATTGATGAAGTGCACCATGCTACGTTGGCCCACCGACTTATAAGCGACCTTCGAACAGAAGAGTCCACCAACCAAAGTTCAGTCGTCGGAATTCAAGCGGTGAATTGTGGATTGCCTGTTAACCATTCTGAAACGTAAGGCATCGCCTTGTCACCCTCAATACCATTCTTCTCTGTACTTTCTCGCGGCTCGCCGCCACTGGCCTCACCCTTCTTCTCGTCATGCTCTGTCGTACTGTAGCGCTTTAAGTCTACTAGCTTTGTCGGTACTGTAGCGCATGCTCCGCAACCCCTCCTCGCCACCATCACTAAGATCAGCAACCTTCTACGCTAGCGGGTAAAAAAAAAATTTCACAGCCTATAAGGCTTGAAGCCGACTATGCCGACGGTGTCGCGTTCGGCCGCACCGCGCCGCCTCGCTTTCCCGATTCGCCTCCCGTTCCTCCCGGTCGTCTTACTACTGCTTGCCGCCCGACTCGGCAATACAGAAGCAGCAACAGAAGCAGCAGCAGCAGCAATCGCAGCGACAAGGGCGACAGCAGCAGCAGCAGCACCGATTCAAACAGCTGACTGTCAGGAAGCGCGCGCACTTCTAGGAAAGGACGTCCCTTTCACCGCCACGCCAGCGCCGACGCCGCCGCCGCCGCCGCCGCCGCCGACGCCTCGTAACACGACCCTCGTGCTTCTGCCCGACAACCCCTACGGCGCCAAATGCCTCGACGGCAGGTAGTGATGGTCAGTCAACGTAGGGAAAGTCGAGTTTTGAGTCGACTCAAAACTCGACTTAACACGACCCTCGTGCTTCTGCCCGACAACCCTTACGGCGCCAAATGCCTCGACGGCAGGTAGTGGTCGGTCAACGTAGGAACCGGAGCTGGCGCGGTGGAATTGAATGGGGTCATGCGGCTGGGCCGTCCCTCACCGTCCATCACCGTCCCTCACCGTCCCTCACCGTCCCTCACCGTCCCTCAGTGGCACTCACCGTCCCCCAGAATCTGCTCCGGTAGGTCTCACATGCGTCACAAATCCCCTCCCTCTTTTTCACGTTCCACCAGCCGTTTTTATCCCTCCCCTCCCCCACTTCCCCACCCTCCCCTCCCCCACACTCCCCCCAATCTCTTCCCCCACCTTCCCCCCTTCACCCTCCCCCTCTTCCCCCCTTCACCCTCCCCCTCTTCCCCCCTTCACCCTCCCCCTCTCTGCTCATCGCTGCTCTGGTCCCCGCGCGCCCGCGGCCTCCGCCCACCCTCCCTCCGGTTCCGCATTCCTAATTTCCTCCACTCCTGACCGCCTGCTTCTCTGCCCCCACTTCCCCCCCTTTCCCCCCACCCCACACCCGCCCCCCCCTCTCCCCTTCTTCCCCCTTTCCGCCGCCTCTCCCCCTCCCCCGCCAGTCCCCCGGGGTACTATTTCCGCGCGGGCGTGGGTGAGGGGCGGCGCAAGTGGCATGTGTTCCTGGCGGGGGGCGGGTGGTGCGCCACGCGCGCGGAGTGCGTTGCGCGCAGCAAGACGTACCTGGGGAGCTCGCGCATGTACCCCGCTGATCCCTCCGCCTACGCGGACGTGAGTGAGTGCTGCGCGGATGAGGGTGTTGCGCGGATGAGGGTGCTGCGCGGATGAGGGTGCTGCGCGGGTGGAAGTGCTGCGCGGGTGGGAGTGCTGCGCGGGTGGGAGTGCTGCGCGGGTGGGAGTGCTGCGCGGGTGGGAGTGCTGCGCGGGTGGGAGTGCTGCGTGGGCGTGACTGCCACGATATCCACCGTGCCGCCCTTCCGAGCGCCAGCGCCAGTGCTGCCTCTCTGCTTTCCACCCTCTCCCATCCCATCCCCCGCTCTCTCTTCTCCGCTCTTTGCTCTCCTTGCTCAGTGCACGCCGCTCCCGGCACCTCTGTCCCCCACCCGCTTCCAACCCCCACCCCCTCTTTGCCGTCTCTCCTCCCTGCCCACTCCCATCGCAGGTACCACGGATGAAGCCTGGATACGATACGATGCCATTCTGAGTGTCAGCGCATTGACCAGCATTGACCAGCATTGACCAGCATTGACGCCTCTATCTTCTCTTCCCACCCTTCCCGTGTCTCACCCCCTCTCCCCTCCCACCACGCCCCCCCCTCCCTCCCTTTCCCCCCCTTGCCCACATCCTCCCAGGTGCCATGGATGAAGCCCGGGTACGACGCCATTCTGAGCGCCAACGCCAGTGCCAACCCGGCAGTGCACGAGTGGAACCTGGTGTGCGTGCTGTACTGCGATGGCGGGATTAGGGGACGCGTCAATCTCCCCCCTCTCCCCTCCCCTCTCCTTTCCCTATCCCCTCCCCTCTCTCCTCTCTCCTCTCCTCTCTCCTCTCCTCTCTCCTCTCCTCTCTCCTCTCCTCTCTCCTCTCCTCTCTCCTCTCCAGGGTTCAAAAAAACGACCGTTTTATTGAAATTTCACCGTAAAAAACGGTACCGTAAAAAACGGTCGTAAAAAACGGTTTAAAACGGTTCCAGGATGTGTTTCCTCTATAACTAACAAAACGGCCACTTATTGGGACCAAATTGAACCCGAAATGCAGCAGCATGAAGGGGATGGACCCCTTCTTGCATGTATGCGCTTGTTGGCATGATCGAAAATGTTTTTGACCTTGTTTTTTTTCTTTTTTTTTCTTGGTGAACAGAGATCTCTAACAAAAAAACGGCCGTTTTTTTGAAAAATCACCGTAAAAAACGACCGTAAAAAACGGACCGTATTTTACGAAAACCGTAATTTTGAACCTTCCTCTCCTTTCTCCTCTCCACCCTCCTCTCTCCTCTTCCCTCTCCTCTTCCCCCCCCTTGCCCACATCCTCCCAGGCACCATGGATGAAGCCCGGGTACGACGCCATTCTGAGCGCCAACGCCAGTGCCAACCCGGCAGTGCACGAGTGGAACCTGGTGCGCGTGCTGTACTGCGATGGAGGAGGGTATGCCGGCACCAAAGGCCGTGTCAAGCTCACTGACGGCACCAGCATCTACCTCGATGGATGGAATGTTTTGCGAGCTGTTGTGCAAGGTGGGAGGAGAACGGAGCAAGGTGGGAGGAGAACGGAGCGAGGTGGGAGGAGAACGGAGCAAGGTGGGAGGAGAAAGGTGCAAGGTGGGAGGAGAACGGAGCAAGGTGGGAGGAGAAAGGTGCAAGGTGGGAGGAGAACGGTGCAAGGTGGGAGGAGAACAGTGCAATGTGGGAGGACAAAAGTGCCTCTTTCTCCCTATTTCCCCTACCACTTGCTTCTCCTCCCCTTCTCCCCGCCCGCTTCCCCCCTTACCCCCAATGACTTCTTTCCACCATTACCCGTTTCGAGAAATGCTTCAAGATCTAATCTAACAGAACATGGCTGCTCATTGGCTGCTTCTTCCTCCTCGCTTCCAATCCTGCCCCATCCATAACCCAGCAGCCATCTCTTTTCAAGAGTCCTCAGAAGTGGCCGCCAATAGCCACCCGAATTGAGAGTCTCAAATGTGAAAGCCCCATTACGCACCCCCTCCTCCCTCTCCACAAACGCCCCTCGCCCCGCCTCGCAGATCTCTGTGCCAATCGCGGCATGGATTCGCCGTCCCACATTCTTCTTTCGGGCAGCTCGGCTGGCGGGCAGGCGGTCGTGAACCTCTGTGATTGGCTGGCAGCGAGCTTCCGGAACGCCACCACGCGATGCCTGGTGGACTCAGGGTTCTTCATGGGTGGGTGTCACTTGTGACAGTTCTCACACACAGGTTTTCTCACTTGTGGGTCGAATCGAATACACCTGGTGTTAGGTTCAGGATGTGTTCGGGGGGTGGGTTCAGCAGGGGTGGGTTCAGCTGTTCATCAGTGCCTGGTTGTTGGTGGTAGCAGCAGCAACAACAACTAAGCACAAAACTTGGCCGTGTATCATGGTGGCGGCAGCAGGTACAAGGAGCACTGTGTGTACGCATGGAATAATAACCTAACAGTGTGGGGGCCGCATGACGAGCCTCCCTAACAACCCTAGCAGTTCGGATGGATGCCATCCCATCCCTATCATGGCACTTTTGAGGCGCCTCAAAGGTCGCCTCAAAATGTGTCTAAAAGAATGCTTCAATAGGCGCTTCAAAAGTTCGGATGCTTCAATGAGCCTCCCTAACCCCAACAGTTCTGATGAATGCCATCCCTATCGTCGCACGCACTTGCTCCACCATTTCTCCCTTTCCGCTGCGCAGCCCCCCATTGCCATGCAACCAACCATTTGGCGTTGCATCCAGCCCCCCATCCATGCAACCCCTCATCACACATTCCCCATCATGCACTCATTTGCACTCATATGCACTCACATGCACCCATCATGAACTTCCCCTCCCTGTCCTGCACTCCCCCATCCACGCCATGCCTTCAGACGCCAAGGACCGGGTGGGCAAGCATGGCTTCAGATTGGTGGCTCAGAGCATCACAGCACTGCACCGACCATACAACCCCTACTGCGCCTTTGGTACGCCGAACAGTCGTGGTGGCTCGTGGTGGCCCGTGATGCTGCACGCATTGCTGTTTGATTGCCCCGTGTTGCCGCACCTCACACACAACACATACTTTCCTTTTGTTCCACTCCCGCTTGCAAGGGTTTCGTGTTACCCCTCGTTTCCCTTTCTCTTCTCACCTCCCTTCCACCTCTCCATCCCTCTCCTTCCTCTCTCCCCATCCCTCCTGGCATGCTTTCCGCTATCTCCCCAGTCATACAAGACTTTAAGCAGGATTGCCCTGACAATGCTTATTCGCCTCTGCACTCACAATCACCTTGTTCAACCCATCTCCCTTCCATTGGCTCATCTCCCCTGTGCTCCTCTCCCTCACTCTGCAGCAGCAACCTCCGCCCAGCAGTGGAAGTGTTTCTTCCCACAGTACACTCTACGCACCATTGCCTAAGCACTCACAATCTCACCTTGCTCAGCCCATCTCCTCTTCGTCGACCCATCCCCACCCATGCTCCTCTTCCCCCTTCTCCAGCAACCACCTCTGCCCAACAATGGAAGTGCTTCTTCCCACAGTACACTCTACGCACCATCGCCACACCCGTTTTCATCTTCCACACTCTCTTCGACTACATAGCAGCCATGCTGGGGAACCAGCTACCCAAAGACAACACATCGTATGCTGCAAACTGTGTGCGAGAGGTCATCAACACGCAATCCACAGGCGCCTTTCAGTTCATCAAGTACAAAAGAGTGAGCTTAGCTGCTGAGAAGCCGCCTGTGTTGTTGAGTGCCAGTTGCACGGCAGGTGAAAGGGAGGCTGTGATGGGAGTGGCGCTGGCTGTTCATAACCAGATTGTTGCTATTGCGAGCGACCGGCCGTCTATCGGAGCGTATATTCCCACGTCATCTGTACATACTGCTATCACGAATAGGTTCTGGACAACGCCGTGGATTAGTGGCACGTCAGTGTGTGGTGCGTTTGAAAGTTGGTCAAGAAGTTCACCTCAGGGTGTTGCCATGCTCATCCATAGCTAGCGAGTTTAATTATTTGTTGCTGCTTGGTTACCAAAAAAGAGTTGCAAAGCAAAGGTGTCATGAATGGCACAAAAGTAGGTGCTGTGTCAATATTTGTTCCACATATGCGTCCCAGATGTGGATCGCCTTCTATAGAAGGAAAGGAAATGCAAGGAGTTTCCATCATTTACCGGTACTTGTTTACGCTACTGTACATTGCATACAATTCCAATTCTTGAAATGCCAAGCTTGTCCCAAGGACCTTGCCTTTCGATGCTACCTCTCGTCGCCTTCGGACTTTACACACCCAACCTGTTGTTGACGAGAAAATACCCCGTCCTCGCTTGGGCGAAGTCGACTTCGCTGCCTAGAGCGCAAGGTGTGTAGCCGGCAAAGCTTCGTGGACGGCGCCGACTTGGAGGAGGAAGTCGGCGGTTTAGTTAGCCGACTTCGGCGAACCAGACAATGGCAAAGCCGACTTCCGCGAAGCTGACCACAGCGAAGCCGACCAGATGCTAGCCAACGAAGGGAAGTCGGCGGACGGCGTCGAGCCTCGGCGGCCGACGAAGGTGGTCGCTTACATGGCACCAAACTACGTGCGTCGATTGTCTATCGTCGGCGTTGGCTGAGCAGCCTTTTCAGATCGACCAAGTAACTGGTCCGCATAACTCTGAGAGTGCGCGAGTTTCGCCCTATACATATTTGGAGAACGTCGACCTGTGAAACGAGCATCGCGTGCTCTATAACCTGGCACATGAGCAATGTGCATCACGTGCACGATGTGCATGTAGCCGTCTGTTGTGCAGACCTGCATCTACTTGGTAGGTGCGCACATCTGCGCAATTGTTCACCCGCAAATACAGTGCTCACTGGCCGCCTTGGTGAAACGCTGGCAAGCCTCCTTGATGCAGCGTTGGCACTGCGGAGAATCATTCAACAACGATGGGAGCCGAACTTCATGGGAGGCTTGCAGGGTTGTTCGGGTGATCGTAGCGTTTCTCTAGCACTTGCACATTCGTGTGTTCACGGGGAGAATTGGCAAGAATTCCAATAAGGAAAAGAGATTGAATAATAACACAATGAGGCATGCAAGTCAATATAGCTAGAATGGTAAGCAACACTGTCGGAATCTTGCTGCTCTGGCCTCTCTTGCTCTCCTTGTAATAGCTCTTCTCTCCCTTCCTCCTGCTTGTCCCTTCTTCTCCTCTGACGTCTCTCAGCCTGGCTTCTGCAGGCTCCTCAACTCCTTGTTCCTTTCTCCTCTGGATCCAATCCCTCTCTCCACTTGAAAAGCCTCCTGTCTGGGCGAACAGGTCTTCAAACCCTAACTCGGCAGACTGAGACCACAGAAGAATTGATTAGTGAAAGCTTGCGAATGTTGGTTCCTCGTGCTTAGTCCAGTGTAGAAAACGTAGAGAATTATAAGCATAAGTGTAGAAACAATCACGCAAGCATCTTACTAAGCTTGTCTACGCTCTTAAGTACTAACTGCGGGTTACCGTTGTGTCAACGGTCTCTCTTCGCCTGCCAATTCTCGCCCGCCAGTGTCAGGTTTCCGTTGGTTTGATTAGGCTTTTCCCTACCTGACCTATATCCTAGCTACAGCTTTCTCCATTTCTATTATATGTCGCGAGTGTATATCTAAGGTACCTACGCCAAGATTACAATCGTGACAACACACCTAGCAAGCATCATGCAAGGCAAACTGCTAGCGCAGCAAAGGGGCAACGTGCCAACGCTGCAGCAGGGCGGCCCGCCAGCGTTGCACCGAGGGCGGTCTGCCATCATTGCAGCCGTAGGTGATCATATGCGCATGTGCGCACCTACCAAGTAGGTGCAGGTCGACGCTCGCACTGCCAGGCATATTCCGCAGGTGCCAGGTACAACACATGTTGACGGTTTCGACAGACATGCACCGTCCAACACGTGATGCCACTCCGCAGGTCGGCTTCGCAAAAACCTCATGGGGCGAAGTTCGCGCACTTGTCGAACTTCGCAGTCAAGCAGATTCAGTCGACCACTTCGACGCTGCTATGTCGAAAAGCGTTCAACGGACGGGCTTGTCGATCTGGCTCGTCGACCAGTGCCTCTCGACGGGCTCGTCGACCAGGGCTCTTCGACGGGCTCGTTGACGACCACTACTGTCGATCAACAACTCCCGTCGAACAGAGCCTGCTCGACCAGCACTTCCATTGACCAGGAAGTCTACTCGACGACCACGTTGTCAAGTTGTTTTCGTCGACGGTAACATTGGCTGCGCCCAAGCGAGGACGGGGCCTTTCTCTTCGACAAACATGTCGTCTTCCAGCTGTGTTGGCACTGCGGAGAGTCACTCTACAAGGTAGTGAGCTAGACTACGGGGGGGGGGGTTGGCACGAACTACTAGGAGTGATCGTAGCTTTGCTTAGTTCCTTAGCGCTTGCATATTCACAGGAGAAATCGGCAAGAGTTTCACTAGGCAAAGATTACATTACAGAATGATTTAACAAGCAATGACAGAATGACTACATCAGGCACCTAGCAACTCTGCAGCTAACCTGGTCGACCGCCAGCACAGCATGGTCGACCGCCTGCCAGCGTTGTGTAGAGGAGCCGCGCCAGCACTGCAGAAAGGCGACCTGCCAACACAGCAGGTCGACGGCGTGCCAACGCTGCAGCAAAGCGGCTGTCCAGCGTTGCACTAGTAGATGGCAGCAGTGCGCACGCTCGCAGGTGCGCGCAGACGATTGGCCCGACTTGCATCGTTGTGCATCCGTCGGCTGTTGTCTGCACCTGACGAGCCACATCGACTTCGGGATACCATCCCGAGGTCGCCTTCATCACCGCGACCTCGACGACGTTCGCGTGCCTCCTCAGAACTCGCCGAGCAGGTTACCTGGTCGACCTGGTCGACCACCAAGTGCTCCGGTCGACCACCAAGTGCCTCTGGTCGACCACCAGGTGCCTCTGGTCGACCACCAAGTGCCTCTGGTCGACCACAGCTCCCGTCGAGCAACACCCTGGTCGACGGACCCCTCCGTCGACCAGCACTGTCAGCTCTTGTCGCCAGCATCCGTGGCCGCTACAGAGGAGCTGTCGGCGTCCCTCCTTGCCAGCATCCGTGGCCGCCACGTACTCCGACTCGGTTGACGACAAAGTCGCACACTTGATGCGCGAGCTCGACCAGGAGACGGCGGCCCCTCCGTAGACAAACACGTAGCCGCCCGTGCTCGTCCGGTTCTGCTTGTCGCCCGTGTCGTCGGCGTCCACGTAGCCGATCAGCTACAGCGACTCTGGTCCACCGCCGAACTCCAGGGCGGTGTCGCGGGTCTTAGCGAGGTAGGCGAGGCAGCGGTCGACCTCTCGCCAATGCTGATCTCTCCTCACCGTGAGGCCGCTCCCCAGCTTGCTGCAGGCGAAGGCGATGTCCGGCCTCGTCGTCGTCGCCACGAACTGCAGCGAGCCAACCTTCTGCCGGTACTCCTCCTCCTCGCGCTCCTGTGCCTCCTCGTCGTCGAATGTCAGCTCGGCGTAGGCGTCGACCGAGACCGGCGTCTTCGGGACCCGCCCGCCCTGCTCCTCATCGATGAAGCGCGCACGCAGCTTGTCGGCGTAGTTCTGTTGGTGCAGCCACAGCTTCCTCGCCGGCATGTCGCGCACGGTCTCCAGCCCAAGGTACTTCACCACTGGCGAGATCTCGCACAGCTCGAAGGAGGCCTCCAGCAGTTCCTTCAGCTCCTTCAGCATCGCAGTGCTGCTGCTGGCGGCGAGCAGGTCGTCGACGTAGACCAGCACCCAGCAGGTCACTCCGTCGTCGCCGGCCTTGAAGTAGAGCGCCGTTTCAACCTGGCTCTTCTTCCAGCCAGCGCCCAGCAGCACACTGTCGAGAGCCCTGTACCACAGCAGCGGCGACTGCTTCCGCCCGTAGAGGCTCTTCAGCAGCTTGCACACCCGGCCGGTCCCATCTTCAAAATAGTCCGGCTGGTACATGTACAGCACCCGGTCGAGCTTACTCTGCAGGAAAGCGTTCTTCATGTCGAGCTGCATCAGGTTGAGGTCGAGGACGGCAACGATGCTGAGGAAGATCCTCAGCGTGACGTAGCTGCTCACCGGCGAGTACGTCTCGTCGTAGTCGGCGCCATACATCTGCGTGAAGCCCTTCACGACCAGCCTCGCCTTCTCGCGCTCGACAGTGTCGTCGATGCGGTACTTGGTCGTCAGCACCCACCGGTTCTTCATAATGTTCACCCCGCGTTGGCGTTCGACCAGCTCCCAGGTGCCCATGTCGATGAGGCTGCGGATCTCCTCGTCCATGGTTGCCTTCACTGCTTCGCCCTTCCAGCTCGTCAGCGCCTCCTTCACCGTCATCGTTGCGATGTCCCAGCGGTGTTCGGGGTCGACATGCACGTCGGGGTCGAGCTCGGGCAGGTCATCATCCGCCTCTGCATCGTCGAGCAG